ATATATATATATGTATGTGGATATATACATCAATAATGGAGGGCCAGGGATTTAGCTCAGTGGATCTACCGCCTGCCTTGCAAGTGCAAGGTCCTGAGTTCAGTCCCCAGTACTCCAAAAAAAAGCCAAAACCAAATACATAAATAATGGAAATATATATGTATATACATATATGTATATATACACACACACACATATATATACATATACATACATATGCACACATATACATATATAAAAATAATAGAGGCATTCCAGTCATGCTGGAGTGGCCAAGAATAGGAAAAACAGAAACAGACATTTACTGTATCAGCAATAAATGTCACAACATTTATACAAGATGGAAGATGAAAGCTTATAAATACAGGAAGTATCTGGCCTGTGACTGTGAGGAAAGGGGTTAGGAAAGCCTTCCTAAAGAAAGTAGTACCTGAGTTGCATTATTAATTAACAATACCTTCATAGGTATTTTTTGAAATTGGAAAATTATACCTTGACGATCTCTGCTTTCTTCCCTTTCTCATTCAGCTCTGTTAGGGTCCTAGATATAAGAGGCCTGGGGTCATGCATGGCAGAAATTGCTGATTATTTACCCTAACTTTGCTTCTTCCCTATTAGACTCCTTTTGATTTTTAGCTAGACACACTGATGTCTGAACTGAAGACATGTTTTTCATACTCATATCTTCCTGTACCTACTTGTGAGCTTGGGACTGGGTTCTGGTAATCCAGAGCTGAGAAATGAATGTCAGGGTAGGGAAAGGTCCTTGCTCCTGCTTCCTTCCGGCTCCCTATGTGCTGCTTGGAATTGGACAGGCGACTAGAACTTCATTCCGGAGGAGGAGGTGAAGGAGGACAAGGGCCACATCCTAAGGATGGCACAGCAGATTTCTGGACCCAGCCCACTAAGAACGTTAGGCAACAGAACCAGCACAGTAACTCTGTACTGCTTCCTTCAGGCTCGCAAATGAAGGGCAAATCAAACTCTATTTTGATAGAGCCAACGCTATTTTGGGGGCATTTGCTACTCTCAGTTGAACCCAATCTTACCTGGTACATCTTGTCTTGCTCATTGGCTTTTAGTAATATCTCTTTTATGTGTCAGGTGCTCGATACTTTTTTTCCTTCATGAATGAATGAATCCTCACATGCACATTCAAAATCACATACATAAAATTGGATACCTACCTCCCCAGCTCCTAACTGATCTCTTAGAAGAACCAGATTTCCCCCATGCTTACCTTGGTATATTCTGACAGTGAGGCGAACCCTTCCAGAAGCTGCTTTGACTCTTTCTAGTAGTCAGACTGTTTGATTCTTTGATATTTTATTTTGAACCGTAAGAGGCAAAAGTTAATTGACTCTTCCAATCCCCATTTTACTCTACTGTCTTCCTGTACTACACGTTGTCAGTCTGTTATCATGTGATTGCAAACAGCCACATTGACAGAAAACTTGAACCAAAGTAGATACTCTTGCCAACTGTGCAGCAAAGGACAAGCACTGTGCTTAGGTTCTGGTTACCCAGCTCTTAGGAGAGGAACAGAATATCATCAATGCCATTATTATAAAAATTCTCCCAAACATACTGTCTAGAAAAGCACCACTACTAATAATTATCAGATGTAAGGCAACATTGTCAAGAATATTTATACCCTACAGTTTGTTGTATATTAGTGGATTCTGAGGAATAAACATTAAAGAAATTTTAAAAATGCTCCCAGATTGTTTCAGTCCATTACATCGGCACTGCCTTTTTATTAAACCTTTTGAGATGTAGCAAAAAGCATTAGAGGCAGGGATCTAAGCTTTAACATCTTGAAATAGCCCGGACTGCTTAGATATAAATGTTTTAAAATAGAGATGGCATTTTTCTAGAGTGGAGAAAGAAAGGTAATTTAGATTAGTAGTAATTTACATGCTGTTCCTATCTCTGGGCAGCTTGCTGAGTTTTTTCCTTTATAGTCCATTTCTTATTTTCATAATGATTACTTAAAAATAAATCCGGAGTGGCATTTGTTCCCTTCTGAAGTAGTTGTATATAAGAATTGTCCTCTATGAAATTATACTTAATTTGGGGATGGAGATGAGTTGTTTTGGAAACAGTTTAAGAGGGGAAAAAAGATGAGAAAGAGAATGGACCATTATATATAGTACCAGGATTCTGATTTTCTATGAGTTGATGCCTAGAAACTTAAAATGACTTTTCAAAGTCTTTATTTTCTGTTCAGTACTTTCCTTATAGGAAGGTGTATTGGACAATTGTTGCTTTTCACACATGAAGCATTTATCATCAGGAGAAACTCTCTCCCTTCCTGTCCTTCATACATCAAGGTTAATTAATGGTTGTGGTGCTACACATGTGGGTGTAATCTCATGAACTCAGGAAGCAGTGTTAGAAGGGGTAGGCTGAAGAATACCGCTGATGGAGACGGGTTCGAGAGACGGGGGATGAGTGTTTCACAAAATAATCTTCATGAAGCTAATAGAATGCCTCTCAAAAGGCTGTACTTTCAGGGACCACGTCGATGGTTGGTAGAATGCCTCTCAACATGGTGCCAGGATATTTATTTACCTAAATTGTAGCCTCTTGTGTAGGATACAGGAAAAACTCACAGAATCAGAACTGCTCTGACTTGGATGTCCTCCTTTTCCATGTTTTTTTTTACAGATGAGGAAGTAGAAGCAGGACTGGCTCTATAATTTGCATAGTACACCAACATGTTGTCCTCCTTGCTCAGGAATCATCAGGCATTTCAAGATGGTGAGTGGGGAGGATTTAATCATTACAGGATGTTCAGGGCCCTAAGTGCACACCCTTGATGCCAATTCCAAGGGGGTTGGATTGTTTGCCCAAGGTGACAAAACTGGTTAGGAGCGGATAGCCTTGTCTCTCTCCCTCCCCCTGTTCCCCTCCCTCC